CTGGTTGCCAGGCCACCAGTTTTGGGAAGTCCTTTTGCTTCTATGTAGATCGTCCGAGCCGATGATGTGGTGACTAGGTCCGGCGTAATAGACATCGTATATATTTACGGATGAAGGTACCTGAATATGCTTGACTCAACAGCACACTAACTCTGGCGACAATGGTCGGTGCACCTTAATATTTTCTTCCTTGTGCATCTAAAACATTTTTAGCATTTCAGGGTCTTCCCGAAAAACCCCCTCCCCCACCACGACCCACGACCCCACCACATCGCGCAGTTTCTTTCCGGTTCCAGAATGTCCTCCCCGGAAGGGAAGAAATTAGGCGGATACGCCCGTTAAAACTCCAGTTTTGGCTTGTTTCACTCCAGTCGCCCGGAAGTCTTCACATAGAATCAACTCCAACGCACAAACAACGACCTCACTTCGCACTATTTACGTATGGTTGAAATTTCTCAAATCCAAATGCGACCCACTCCTTTCCTAAAATCGCAAATGCGACATCCCAAGGTCTTAACGCCATCCGTGGCGCAGATCAGAGCAGAAGATGTTGCTGCTCAACGCTTCAAATACGATTTATCATGAGTGAAATGATTGTTTTGGAGATCCAAATATATCAGGACAATATCAAGAAGGGAGGTGTATAGAAATGGAAAGATTCGCTTCTCCAGGCTCAGAACAAAGATGCGCAAAAGCGGAATTCATTGTCAACATTTCTGGAGAACACTTCCCGTGCCTGTTGAAAAAGCACATTTCCTAACTTCCAAAGAAGCCTTTACTCTTTCAAATGTGAGGAAAATACGATTTTTCGAAGCTCAAAACTCACACACATGAGGAAAGTGTTTAAAAACCTCCAGGAAGTCAGACCGGCAGTTGTAGCACGAAGTGCAGGAATTTGCGAGTGAAGACTCGTTAGTAACCTCATCGTCTCTTGCTTTCTCCGTGTTGGAAGGCAGTTACAGAAAGCGTTTTGAAGAGAGATATGTTTGCCAGAAGCCCAAGCGCGCGAAAAAAAAAATCGGTCGGCAAAGCTCATGAAAAGTCAGACTGGCGACTTTGCCAAATGTAAACTTCAAAGTAGCAGTTAAGCGCTCGTTGGAGGGTTCAAAATTTCTACCTTTTTTCCCATGCTAAATGACAGCCACGAGATCAATTTTAAACAAATATGTCCGCTACAAACAAAAAAAACTCGTGCCTGCCTGAAAGTCGGATGTACGATTCTTTCGACAAATTGAGATGGGGTAGTGTTGGAAACATTTGAAAACAAATGACTTTCAAAGCCTCTCGCTCTTCGGCCATCTGCCAATGTCCCTGTCTCATCCTCCCACTCCTTCGCCCGTGTTTGTCTTACGTTCCACTTCTGAACATGCCCTTGCCCATCTCACCGCTTCTGCCCTCTCTCCTGCGCCTGTTTTCATCCCCCTCCTTATCCGCTCTTCACGTCCCCCCTCCACCCGCTTCTGACTGCATATACGTCCCGGCCTGCCTGTCGCAGTATCCGTCCGGGCCGACCCATGTCCGTTATTACCGACGGTGACTGACTCATCATCTGAATTGCATGCTCCCAGTCTGCTTACCTATCTTATCCTCCGCTCGACTGTTTTCATCGCTCTGTTAGCACCACTGTCCATAAAATGTCTAAAAGAAATAGAAACTGCTGCTCTAGAGATACGCCGTGCACACACTTCTTCATCGTCGTGTTACATTTGCAATTGTTTGTCGATTGCCATGTAAACATTGACGACCAAGTTCTGCTGTACCGACTTGGATACCCAATAATGGTTTACTCCAGAAATTGAGGAACAAGGAAGTTAATCGAATCTAATAAGATACATCCAAGCGACCGCCACCATTGGCTATTTCTTTAGATTCCCGTGACCAGTGACACGGTCCAGCCCCGCTCACATTTTCTTTCAAAAGAGCCGTCAGAGTTGGGGGGATGAGGGGAGGGGGGGGGGCAATATGTGTTTGAGCGGTAAATCTCCCATTGTTGCCCATTCTTCAACTCGCGACACTCTCGCTAACATCATCAGAACCCTCGCAAACAGAAACAACACCCCATTCACACTTTTCCCCAACATGGTAAACCTCTCCCAACCCCCAAATGGGACCCCATCATTCGGATAGTGCGAAAGGAAGGTTGACCCTGCTTACAAGAATGGAATAAGCAGGTGAACAAGAGCAGACACTTTACGGTTTCTTCCTCTGACCCTCAACCGCCCCCTTCTTTTTCCAACTCTTCGCATTAGTTGCCCTTTCACTCACTCGCTGTCTCTCTCAATCCCTTTCCGAAAATGGCGTTTCCCGAGAGCAGCAATTTCGTTTGGAATTTTTGAACAGTATGCCAACATACCAACTTGAACAGAGCAGAAAGGATAGAAGGGTAAGCTCGCCGAGAAACACGCGTACAGTCCGACAGACCGCAGGACCAGAATGCGAAGAGTGGCGAGTGGGTACAGATGCAGACGGAGTACCAGACAGACAGGCACGAGCATATACAGACAGAGGGGCACAGGCAGACGGAGGGGCAGATAAGCAGGGACGGGCAGCACGCAGAAGGATACGCAGAGACAGTTGCGTACAGAGGGGCACAAGGACGGACAGATGCATATGGGGAGTTCAGACACCGACAAAGGGAAGGACACGGACTGACACTCACCTGGACCTTCCGCTCGCACGGAGAACAACAATGGAGCTGATTGGTTGGGACGGTGTAAAGTGCCTAGACTGGCCAATTCAAGATGGGGTGTTTAAACCATTGGCAGAATAGAGACTGAAACTGGGACATCCCGAGTTGGAAATCGCGAGCCTCGCAACCGATTGCAAAATTGAAACCTATCGACTTGAGCCCTGGATTGTAGTGACTAGGCTGGTTTTTTTGCAGTGCACAGGATCATCGACAATTACGAGAGATGTTGAAAGAAAGGTATGCAATGGATGTTGTTTGCAAATCTTAGTCTCCAAGCGGTGCTGATCCAGCAACCTTGCCAGCGGCAGCGTGGAACGTCCCCATTGAGCCAATGGCAATTTGCCATAGGCGAAGTGGTGAGCATCCACCACGTTGCTTGCAAAAGTCGCGTCACACACGGGTTTGAACCTTCAGTGATGCACCGTCCCATGAGCGGCATCGCTACCACTGCACTATGGAGCTTTCTTATGACGTGGATGAGAGAGTTCTACGGAAGCAATCCACAAGTTGATAACTTGTGAATCTAGTATGTTATCCGATCTGGCCGGCTCAACACACCAACGTGGACCGCAGGCGCTACACCATTGACGGATCAATGCAAGTTGCTTCCCTTTCCCTTTTCAACTTACTGCGTTGACCCACACAGCCTGGCTGTTTGGAGATGGCCATCTCTAAAAAGTCCTCCGGAGGACTTTTTAGAGATGAAGTGGCAGCATGTTTGCGCCCTCCACCGCGCGCGCGCACTATTTCCTTTCCTCTGCGCTCGCTTGTTTAGTTTTAAATGCCACCTGTTTCCTCTTACTGCAGTGATGGACCCCAACTTTCAAGTAAGTTCGAACTCACTTCGACCATTCCGACGGGGAATCTTCGGAGGGGTTCCAGAGGTGCTCTACGCATCTTTTAGGGAGACATGGATGGAAGCCATGATCAAGTTACCACGAGCTCATGGTCACATGGTAACTAGCAGTTGTGGCCACTTTGCTACCGTCTGGCGTTTCGACAAAGTCGGTCGGTTTTTGCAGCACTCCCTACGGCACGACTAAGTGGACCATGATGGTCCATATGGATCTGAAAGAAATCTATTCAGAGTACGCAGTAAGAAAACGAAAAATCCTTCTTCCCATACCTGTGATCCCTGCGGCGAACAGTCTATGTGAATAACCACGAGTCGGTCGTCCACATTTTTGTTGAACATTTGCAAAAGGTAGCAGTAAGAATATACCATAAAATGTTAACAAAATGCTTGCTTAACCTGCTGCCAGACATACCCCGTCATACTGGAGGTCTCTTCCCTTCCATGACTGGCGATCTAAAAGTGGCACATTAGGCAGGTGCAGGACATTTTGATAACGTAGAAACGAGTACGACTCGAGGAAGAAACCACAAGAACGACTCTCAACGAGTCGACAAATTCAGCCATTTCGGACCTGGCGATGGCAGTTGCCACCATCGACTTCAAATGCCAGCATTACCGCTGCAACTACATATTTCTACTACTCACTGTAGAGATTACTATTGACAGCAAGTAACCAAGTAACAAACAACAGAAAGAGGAAAACTTTTCCACGGAAAAAATTTAGGACCGAAAGTGTTAGAGAGACGGATAGGGACGAGGTCCAATGCACCGCATCGCATAGCGTGCGTGAGGGGATGACTGGTGGCCGGGCCGCTAATTCACTCGATCAAATAATTACTGATTGCAGTTCATTCCGTGTCACCTGCCTCAGGCAATTCTATCTTTCCAATCCCCGGTCTGTGCCTGTAGTACAAGATTCACACTTCTGCCTAATTCACACCTCAGCCTGCACCTCGGGAGGCTTGCCTGTGGAATACCCTCACTTGATTTTCTACCCTAAATTTGAAAATCTTTGTGGTTCCTGAACAATTACACATATTTTGTTCTAATTCTTTATTTATTCCGATCTCTTCGAAAATCCGCATCTCCACAAACAAATATACACGATAATTTCGTTTAATTAAATATTCTACTGTACTTTTCTGTTAACAGAACAATCAGAAGAAGCACCACGACAAATATTTTTCGTGAGTCATTGATGGTAACCATTAAATCACAGTAGGAAAATGAACGGGTAAAATGAGTCAAAAATAAATCAATACAAGTTGTTTCAGGTGAACAGATTCAATCCGAATAATCTAAGCAACCATACGAAGAGGCCATAAAGCCTGTCCTCATTCGTACTGATAACAAATAACAGATAACTAGAAAATCTACGGTCCTAATCTGTAAAACTACCGAACCGAATTTTTTGTTGAGCAAGCTGGTAAAGAGACCTTTCAATGATAAAATATACTACTCTAGCGTCCGAGCGTCTCTCTTCTGTACCGGTACTTTGACCACTATCGTATCAGGATCATCTGCTTCCACCTGCACCTGAAACCAGCAGATAGTAACAGTTACTAAACTCTACTCCTCTTTTTATTGACAGTGCTTTTAATTGTTTACTCATTTCGTCCCAACGACGTCTTCAGGTGGAACTCCTAGTGAGGGCTGGGATTTCATCAGAATCGTCTTTCCCAAGGAAAAATGTCTCAATAAGCTAGAGAAAAGATGAAAATCAGACTCCTCAAGGATAAACACTGTAAACCACAACCTACACAGAAAATATGCAGAAAATGAAAGGCTGAGCGCGGGCAAATGGACATTTTCTGGTATACAAAACTATAACTACTATATAATCCGAATGATTGGGAACCCTCTCATCATTATATGGTAAACGTAAGTAGGATAACGACAGCACCAACCTGGCAACCCAATCGAGAATGGTCTGACAGTTCGGGGGCGAGATCAAGGAGATCCAGTTCTTCTTCACCAGCTGGGTTGATCCTATCCACACGTTCGAAATGTTCTGGCGAAAGCACTACATGACAAGTGCAACATGCTAATGTGCCTGAAAGCAACCAGAATCAAATAAAATTGTTATGGCTCTGAAAAAGTGTAGTGAATTAACTCAAAATCTGGAACGTCTCCGAAACTGCTAGCTAAATTCATGAAATTCGGAGATCGAAGTTATCTTGTCCCTTCACCCCTCGACTCAATTATACTACATATCTCTTTTATTGTTCTATTAATCCGTTAGACCACCGTCACACTTGGCGACGGACAAGCAATGGAGCGATCGCGATCGCTTCATCGCTTTCCGACGCCGAGTGTGACGGCGGTCTCCATAAATTCCATCTATTGGTTGGTGTTGATCGGACAAACATTACACCTCTACACTGACTCTTCGAGATCATAAACTGAGAGTCCTCAACTGCTTAAGTACTTGTCCCGAACAAGACAATATTGCAAGGACGATTAGCGATTAGATCTTGTATAACATACCTTCACAAGCACCAAAACCATCCAAAGGCAGATCGTTATTTACAACAACATCCAGTATCGTATCTCCAAGCTGAAATCAATAACAAAATCAAGGTAGTTTCAAAGCTACTTCAGCAGTAACAGTATAATCTACCATTTTGAGGGTACAATCAAGACAAGCGCGTGGAATGTTTCAAGCAAGTTAGAAGGTCCTTAGGAGCTTGAATAGGCGACTTAGGAGCGAAAGTTATAGACTTATAAAACACTTGGCTCCGCCTCCGATAACAGGACTATCGCGGTAAACGACTCCGATGACAGTGAAAGAATATCTAGAATGTGCGGAAACCGAAAAGCCAGTGAAACCAAAAAACTGTTATCATCGCACTAACAAGGGAAGGATACCAAGTCGAAGTGGCCATCCGTAATGAAACCTATACTCAGAGATGTGTTTTCGGACGCTGATCTCGAATCCACTCTCCAAATTTGCGAAACGATTCTCTGAAAAGTGTTACGGAGGTTGTTTCGAATGAAAGCCCACTGTAAGAGACTCCGGCAGAGCTCGGCTTCCAGCGGCGGCTTGGCCGAGTGGTAGTGTTGGCGGCTTCCAGTGGTAAGACCATGGATGGGATCTTGCTGGGCATGAATTTTTTGCTTTTTGTAATTAGGTCTAATTTAAATATAAAAAATTATTCAGTGTGAAATTTTCACTGCGTCCAAAGCTAACGCATGTTTAGAGGGGTTTTTAAACGCATTCCACTTTTTTCGTAATGTTTCGACCACTGTCGGGGTGTTTCTACGCCACGGAAGTGACGTATATCCGACGATGGGCTAAACAAATGGGAGATGCTTGCTCAACGGACCAAACTATCTTTGAAGGCTTAATTCTAGAAAGCTGACATTTGGACCCAATTTCGAAACTCGGTCTACAATGAGTCGTAGGTGTTATCCCTAGCCCCAGCCACTACCCTCCTGCTCCTCCTGGGCAGCGAGCGTGTACATGAAAAAATATCATATTAATCTTCGGATGGCACGAGCAAGTAGAGCAGGCAACTATATCTCTTTCACAATAATGACTGAAAGTTTAATTCAATCCCACGATCAGGCTCTGACAGTGGGTCGACAGTGGGTTGATGATAGATGACTGCCCACATTTTCGACTTCAGGTCAAAATTTTAGATTTGGACCAAATGTTGTTGAAAGGGGTATTTCGACGCGCTGAACACGAATATCGCATCTGCTTGGCACGAAATTGCCTTACGCGTTGCGCTACGGGTGTCAGAGGCGGTCACTTGCAAATGACGCGCACAGTGCTCGAAGCTCTTCGCCAGCTCTGTTTACTTGTGCTATAGGCAATCGCTGATAACTTAGCATGGATAAGAGTCCCTTAAACAACGTTCACAAGAAAAGCAAAAGTGAGAACTCGCCAAGAACTCGAACTCACGACCTCTCGTTCGTTGAGCCGCACCGCTGCCACTGCACTATCTCGCTTCATAACTACGTTCAAAGAGTCGTTTCGCAGATTTGGAGAGCAGATTTGAGATAAGCGTCCAAAAACACATCTAGTGGTGTATGTCTCGTTACAAATGGCCACTTCGACCTGGTATCCTTCCCTTGTAAGACACCAGAGCAGACCCAAAAATTACACAGATGATAGTCTTTTTTGCCTATAAACGCTTGTTAGAATCAATTTACTCGAAATTTCATTTGTAATACATTTCTGTACATATAGTTTAACATGTTCCAAAAAAGGTAACTATCGTACATACCTTCGCTGTTCCAACAAACTTCTCCTCTCCACAGACAAACTCAACTTGTTTAGTAGAAGCAGACCGCACGGAGGAAGGGCTAGAGGCAGTATTCAGAAATGATACAGATTTCAAATATGGTGAAAATTTGTAACTACGAAGTAATGACGACAGGATTCGACTACTTAACATAGCAAAAATCTGAAACAAAACAATTACGAGAGCTAGTAGTGAATGAGAAAAAAACCCGCTATCCAAGCGATCAAACAAATAACGAAAAACGTCGAAAAAAATGACGAAAACTTGAAGGAAATAGAATAAACTGAGTTGCTACCGAAGCAGCGCATGAGGATTGAGAAAACTATGAAAGAAAATGACCTAAAACCATAAATGCCACTAGGTCCACGAGAAAATGAATTTTAAATGATTGCATTTGAATCGCTACCAACAATATCTAGCAGGAGTTCAGCAAGATTTCCAGATATAGTCGTCTCAGAAATTCAAGATTATTCAAATGCAGCGCGACAAAACAAATAAAAGCTCCAAAACCTACCAAAGCATTGAGACACTCGAAATTATTTCGAAAGCTGAGAAAATTAAATCATCCATTCAATTTACTAGTCTTTCAAGCTCTAAGAATGAACTTTGGAACGTCACGTTGTTCTTGAGTATACAAATAAGATTGTGGAGAAATAGTCAATAACATTTGTCAAGTGCAAGTTTAACGTCTAGAAAACGAGCCAGACAACCAGAAACCGATCAATTTGGTTCATCTAATCAAAACACAGGACACAGACAAGGAGTCACAGCACATCATACCTTTCATGCGTATCTCAGGATACATTCTACAATCAGCTGACTGGGAAAATCCTCTCCACCATGGGCCGTATCCTATCTTTCCCCCAAGCTATCGAAAGAAAAAATCCTTTTGAATTCTCATTGTTTTCCCTAGCAAAATTGTACTAACAAATGGCCTACCTGTAATGTTTGTATGTGTAAAAGCAACCATGTGCTGAAAGTAAGGAAACTATACTGTTGCAAATCCAAAAAAAAAATTGGAAGGGATCTTTTCTTCCTCTAGCCTGGGGAAAGGATAGAATTAAGCCCCAGGGTTGCCAACGCAGAGGTTTCTCGACTTCGCGACTTAGGTGACTCGGCACTGGCCTATGTCGCTGAAGTTGCCCATCTATGCCACGCCTCCAAACGAACACCAGGGCACTGCATTTATGCCTCTATTTTCGTCTTCTCACCGTCGCAACTCCTTTTATCACCCCCTTTCTTCGGGTTCTCTCCAAATCAACTCAAATAAGGAATGCTTTGTTTTACATAATTTTTGACTTTTCTTCCCTATTTTTTCAGTGAACTGCTCGTCACCTCGACTTCCATTTTTGAGCGGGCAATCCACACTATGGCTTTTATGAAATGTGTCTCTGAACATCTGCTGGCCGAGCAATACGTGGTAAGAGATTTGCTCGCTCAAAAGCAAAAAGATAAAACCGTATAAGCTTCAATGGTTCGTTGACCATGACAATGTACGATAAGGGATTTGATCCCGAAATGCACGTGATAAGCAGCGCCACCTACTATAACATTTTCGCTCGTGGAATATTACGCGATTTGAACCACTTGTGGTAGTGATATAAGGAGATGTTAACGCACACTGGGTTGGAAAGTTACCAGGAAACAAGGTGCTGGTATCCCACATGGAAACGGGTGTGGCTAGGACGAGTTTATAATGATTGGAGAGGCAGATGGTTTGCGCAGTTGCCGACTGCGTCTCGACGCCTCTATTCGAAACAACAACCCGGATACGATTTCTGAGAGTATACTCGTTCGGGCCAAACCCCATCCAAAGGAAGAGGAAGCACGCTATGAATGATACTGGACAGGCATTATATGTAGACACTTCATCAGTCAACTTATTTAATAACGATCTGGAACAAACAGTCTGTAAAAGAGTTGTAACATCAACAACCAGACGAAAAGGCAATGAATTGAGGGACTAGGATACAAAGCACTTGAAGGAGGATTCCACGATAATTTAACCCCTACCGGACCGCGCACTTTTTGCGCTCATATATAAGGTTACATGACAGGAAACAGTGATGTAAAAAAGTGATAGGGCCATAAAAAGGGAGGAAGGGACGAAAATTGTTCAAAATAAGTTGGTATGGAGAAAAAGGGAGTAGAACGTGCCCAAAACGATTGGATCCAAAAGAATCAGATACGACGAGCACGATATTTCATAAATTCTTGGAAAAAAATCAAATTCTTGGAAAAAAAATCAGCTCCTGAAGTTCCCGACACCCCATGGGTGTCAGGCGGTCCGGAAAGGGTTTAAGAGGGTGAACTTATCCAGGGGGAACATAGGCGGACCTCTTAGGAGCCGAAGGCTATCCGCAGCGAAAGATATGCCCGCGGTCATGGCCCTCCGCGCAATGCTAGCCCATCGAGTGGCTAGCCACCAATTCGAATGGGGTACCTTCTGATCGTAAATTCCGCAAATTCTCCTCAGATCCATCACAGAGAACAAAGAAAATCTGTTGATCTCCCTGACTGTATTTGCAGCCAGCGCGTGACTGTGCTCGCAGATTCTCAAGCAGAAAGAAGAAACCGAGCCACTTTTGAAAACCGAGTTGAGAATATAGAAAATAAAAAAGTTGATGCTGCTGGTAAACTGTGAAAATAGGGCTGGATATAGGAAAAACACCTCGGGCAAAAAATGTAGGAAGAAAACTAGCAAAAATATCAAGCCCAAAGTTAAGCCACATGTATGCATCACGATTTGATGATCACAGCTAACAATTTCTAAGCAGAAAACGCTCTAAACAATGAAACTACCAGTTTCTATGCGCTGACACCTTCTTTCTGAGCTGCGATTGGTTTCTGTACTTACATAAACTCAGCTCAGTTAACAGCGCTGATCCACACGTGCAGGAACAATACAAATGATGGTATCTGGGTCTTCAGGAGCAATTTCGATCTGAAATCGTTGAAAAATCTTCATATTCTTTGGTATACACATATCAGCGTAATAACTTCGTATTAATGCTGGTTTCGTGGAGGTGGCGTAAATTAAATTAAGGAGACGTTGGAAGGAGGGAGACGAAGGGAAGTGAGATTATACCGATCGTGGAATGGAAAGAAAAGAGAAATAAGAAAATGCGATGTACAAATGCAGCGAAATGTGCAATCCGAAACTTCGCATATGAACAAACCCAGAAAGTTCGGAATCAGGGTGTGGCCCGCTATAAAGAAAGCGATTCTTCCGCTTTTGGTCGACGGACTACTTGAACTCAGCCCTTTAAACCGCCTCTGCGCTCTCTCGCGGGTCCCTCTCCTCTCCAAGGCTTAGTCCTAGGGCATTCACCCGTTCTCTAATCGTCTGTGCTCTAGCCATCGCGGCAGGACCATTGAGGAAAAATCAAGTAGTCCGTAAACCTTTGCAAGGCCTTTTTCGCTGCGGGGACCCCAGGTCCATGTATGATCAGTGGTGGGGTGGGCCTGGGGCTCCCGCAGCAAGAAAAACTTTGGGCTGCGTACAACAGAAGAGTCGCTTTCTGTCCTAGTGAAACACAACCTCTCAACCGTAGGTTTGAGCAGATCTGTACAGAATGTACACTCACAAAAATTTCCTCTAAGGCGATCGAGCAATGGATGGGCGTGAAGGGACAAGAAACGGAGGAAGAAGCCTCTTCCAGAACCCTTTGTGAAAAAAGAATAAATGACGGTAGAAGATAACACTAGCCTGACATCCGAGTCGGGAGAACTCTGACAACTCAGGTGCATTATCGAGAAGGTCCAATTCTTCTTGACTCGCTGGATTTATTCGATCAACTCGATCGAAATGTTTCTTTTCAAGGATAATATGACATGTACTACACGCACGCATTCCTGAAAGCAGACCATCAATCTCGAACACTCAAGACACTTCACTGCACTCGAATGTTAATTTTAGAAGAGGAAAGGTATCAAAACCGATCAAGATGGTGGTAAGACAGTCAAAAACCAGACATCTTTGCAACTCTATAGTCGCGCACAGTGAGGCAACGCAAAAAATTCGACAATTCGGTAAAGTTTTTTTTAGTCTCGTTCATAAGACT